ATGTGCAATTAAACCATGGCAACATCTAATGTTTGTGTAGTATTATGTTCAGCAGACTGTGTTCTTCTATTGTTGTGACTTAGATGACGTTCAGAGCACATTTTATGCCCAATTCATGCAAAACTCCACGTAATCCCAAGGGGTTCACATACTTTTTCTTGCAACTGTATATATATACACTGTATATATATACATACACTATATTGATAAAAGTATTGGCATCCCAAAATTGTGGTTGCAACTGACTGGACTTTATAGGCACTTAAACATCAAAATCTTGTAAAATCTTTATACTGTTTTTTGGCAAATTACATAGTTACAACAAGTCAAGTATTAATTTCCAAAAACATGATACTACATAAGTACCACAGTTACAACATAAAGAAATTGCACCTCAACAAGTATATCATTTTAAATCCTACTGCTCCTAAGCCCTGGTTCACACCACTGCGATTTCAGGTGCGCTTTGGGAATTTAAATCACACCTGAAATCAGATCTAATGAATGTAAATGTGAGTGTCTTAACAGGTGCGATTTGCTGCACCGCGATTTCAAAAGTAGTTCTTGTATTATTTTTTCTGCAGTTTTTTGCGATTTCACATATAGACTTCAATAGACATCGCACTGCAAAACGCAATGGAAAACACAAGAAATTGTTGGGAAATCATCAGAAAACATGGTGAAATGCAACTGATTACTGCAAGCTCAACCCATTGTGCATGGTGGCATCACCTCCAAAGGCCTGGGCTTTGCGTTTCATCATCCGACGTCCTCCAATGTGAGCGCGATGCATGTTTTTTAATGATATAAAGTGTTTTAAATCGCATCCAGTGTGAACCAAGCCTTAATGACCATATAATCTGATTGGTACCATAATGGATCAACGATGGTTGAGATGACCTGGTAGTTGATTAAACATAGATACAGTCAGGTCCATAAATATTGGGACATCGACACAATTCTAACATTTTTGGCTCTATACACCACCACAATGGATTTGAAATGAAACAAACAAGATGTGCTTTAACTGCAGGCTGTCAGCTTTAATTTGAGGGTATTTACATCCAAATCAGGTGAACGGTGTAGGAATTACAACAGTTTGCATATGTGCCTCCCACTTGTTAAGGGACCAAAAGTAATGGGACAGAATAATAATCATAAATCAAACTTTCACTTTTTAATACTTGGTTGAAAATCCTTTGCAGTCAATTACAGCCTGAAGTCTGGAACACATAGACATCACCAGACGCTGGGTTTCATCCCTGGTGATGCTCTGCCAGGCCTCTACTGCAACTGTCTTCAGTTCCTGCTTGTTCTTGGGGCATTTTCCCTTCAGTTTTGTCTTCAGCAAGTGAAATGCATGCTCAATCGGATTCAGGTCAGGTGACTGACTTGGCCATTGCATAACATTCCACTTCTTTCCCTTAAAAAACTCTTTGGTTGCTTTTGCAGTCTGCTTTGGGTCATTGTCCATCTGCACTGTGAAGTGGCGTCCAATGAGTTGTGAAGCATTTGGCTGAATATGAGCAGATAATATTCCCGAAACACTTCAGAATTCATCCTGCTGCTTTTGTCAGCAGTCACATCATCAATAAATACAAGAGAAGCAGTTCCATTGGCAGCCATACATGCCCACGCCATGACACTACCACCACCATGCTTCACTGATGAGGTGGTATGCTTAGGATCATGAGCAGTTCCTTCTCCACACTCTTCTCTTCCCATCACTCTGGTACAAGTTGATGTCGGTCTCATCTGTCCATAGGATGTTGTTCCAGAACTGTGAAGGCTTTTTTAGATGTCGTTTGGCAAACTCTAATCTGGCCTTCCTGTTTTTGAGGCTCACCAATGGTTTCCATCTTGTGGTGAACCCTCTGTATTCACTCTGGTGAAGTCTTCTCTTGATTGTTGACTTTGACACACATACACCTACCTCCTGGAGAGTGTTCTTGATCTGGCCAACTGTTGTGAAGGGTGTTTTCTTCACCAGGGAAAGAATTCTTCGCTCATCCACCACAGTTGTTTTCCGTGGTCTTCCGGGTCTTTTGGTGTTGCTGAGCTCAGCGGTGCGTTCCTTCTTTTTAAGAATGTTCCAAACAGTTGTTTTGGCCACGCCTAATGTTTTTGCTATCTCTCTGATGGGTTTGTTTTGTTTTTTTCAGCCTAATGATGGCTTCACTGATAGTGACAGCTCTTTGGATCTCATCTTGAGAGTTGACAGCAACAGATTCCAAATGCAAATAGCACACTTGAAATGAACTCTGGACCTTTTATCTGCTCATTGTAATTGGGATAATGAGGGAATAACACACACACCTGGCCATGGAAAAGCTGAGAAGCCAATTGTCCCATTACTTTTGGTCCCTTAACAAGTGGGAGGCACATATGCAAACTGTTGTAATTCCTACACCGTTCACCTGATTTGGATGTAAATACCCTCAAATTAAAGCTGACAGTCTGCAGTTAAAGCACATCTTGTTTTAAATCCATTGTAGTGGTGTATAGAGCCAAAAATGTTAGAATTGTATCGATGTCCCAATATTTATGGACCTGACTGTATATTGTCAAAATACAGAGCTAGTACGACTTCAACTGAACAGTAGCTCTTCTTAATGGCATCCCAGTCTTAGTCCGTAGGGTTCAATATTGAGTTGGCCCCGCCTTTGCAGCTATAACAGCTTCAACTCTTCTGGGAAGGCCGTCCAGGAGGGTGTCTATGGGAAGGTTTAGGAGGGTGTCTATGGGAAGGTTGGACCATTCTTCCAGAAGAGCATTTGTGAGGTCAGGCACTGATGTCGGGGGAGGAGGCCTGGCTTGCAGTCTCTGCTCTAATTCATCCCAAAGGTGTTCTATCGGGTTGAGGTCAGGACTCTGTGCAGGTCAGTCAAGTTCCTCCACCCCAAACTCACTCATACATGTCTTAATGGACCTTGCTTTCTGCACTGGTGGGCAGTCATGTTGGAACAGGAAGAGGCCATCCCCAAACTTCACACAAAGTTGGGAGCATGAAATTGTCCCAAATGTCTTGGTATGCTGACGCCTTAAGAGTTCCCTTCACTGGAAATAGGGGGCCAAGCCCAACCCCTGAAAAACACCCCCACACCATAATCCTCCCTGCACCAAACTTTACACTAGGCACAATGCAGTCAGGCAAGTACCGTTCTCCTGGCAACCGCCAAACCACTAAAACATTTTAATTCATTACAAAACGTGCATCACACTCACATTTCACTGACACCAGTAAAACAAGCATAGAATTAAAATTGGGTGGTCTCCGGTCTCACTGATTACTGCAAGCTCAACCCATTGTGCATGGTGGCGTCACCTCCAAAGGCCTGGTCTACGCGTTTCGTCATCTGACGTCCTCCGATGTGAGCGCGATGCATGTTTTTTAACGATATAAAGTGTTTTAAATGGTTTTACGCTATGGAGTTCCCACTTTACTTCCTTCCACATGGTTTTATTAATATGAATGACGAACGCTCAGCAAAGGGGTTATAGGAAAAACACTGTCCTCTCTGTAGATCATTGCAGCCAGAGCTAATGCGCTGAAACTGGTTTATATTATTACCAACCTGGAGCTCTGGTGAGTTTATTATTATAATACATTTGGTGGCGGAGCAGCACTGTGTGGTGGGGAATATTTAAGAAAGCACAAGCAATAATCATATGAATTGATGGACTTTTATCAGGAACTTTATACATAGGCTTACCTTGTATTGTGAAAAATTTGTAAACCGAAACACGGTTACCCATAGGAATGCATTGAAAACCAATTAATCCGTTCCGCAGGTCAGAAAAAAGTAAAAAAAAAGTCTTTTATCTATTCAAAACTCTTTAGAAAGTGCACTTTAAAGGCATAAATACTGTACAGGGACCTGAAATATTAAGTCGTAAATGCATTGAAAACCAATTTATCCGTTGCGGAGGTCAGGAAAAAGTCAAAAAATGTTTTATCTGTTCAAAACTCTCCATAAAGTGCACTTTAACCCCTTTGCGCCGACACCTCTCGATCCTTTAAGAGTTTCAGAAGCCGGGAGGCAGGACGGGGTTTTAGGGTCATGTGACCACCGTGATTTGCTGTCACGGCGGTCACATGATCGGAAAAGGTCCCGATCGCAAGGGGAGATCGGACTTTTCCGTGAGTCACGGACACAGGTGCTGGGAGCGTGCAGGGCTTGTGCTCTCAGCACATATGTATTTTCAAATGGTACACAAATATGTGGCCACTCGGCGTCAAGGCCTAGACGCCGATAGGCCACATATTTGTGTGCGTTCGGCTTCTAGTGGTTAAAGGCATAGTACTGTACAGGGACATTATTAAAAAAAAAATCATAAATGCATTGAAAACAATTCATCTGTTCGTATTGCGAAAAAAATTTGTAAACCAAGCCATTATTTTCAATGGATTTTCATTCATAAACCGAAAATTACATTAACCCGAGGCGTTCGCAAACCGAGGTACTCCTTTATAGTTTTGGATATAGAAACAAAATATTTCTGCATGATTTGTGTATGAATTTGATGGTTTTTGTGCAGTGATTTTCAATATATGAATTAGATAATGTTAGTCACTCATTGGATGGTGACACTTTTTTAGTGTAGTGACACCGTCTGCACACAGCACTTTGTTTTTTGCACTTTAGCACTTTTTTACAGGTTTGTTATATTAGTAGTGGTTTGCACATATTTGGGACAGTTACATTTCTGGGGTGTCGGGTAGCGCTGTTTAATTCCTTGTATTTTATTGCTTTGGGATCTCCAAAGATAAAATAGCTACTTCCTCTTTTCTTTGGTGGCACCCCTATATTCGCGTCCGGTGGTGCCATCCATGGAGGGTTATTTGTAATGCACAAGTGTGAATGGAGCCAAGTTCCGGGAAAACGTCTTCTCTTTCACTTCTCTGTTCCTCATTGGCCTGCTTCTTGTAGACAAACTATGCATGATCTTAACCCAGTGTTTCTCAACCTTTTTTCAGTCAAGGCACCCTTTAAAGTTATGGACAGTCTTGAGGCACCTAAAATTATGGACAGTATTGAGGCACCTAAAATTATGGATAGTCTTGAGGCACCTAAAATTATGGATAGTCTTGAGGTACCTAAAATTATGGATAGTCTTGAGGCACCTAAAATTATGGACAGTATTGAGGCACCTAAAATTATGGACAGTATTGAGGCACCTAAAATTATGGACAGTCTTGAGGCACCTAAAATTATGGATAGTCTTGAGGTACCTAAAAGTATGGACAGTCATGAGGCACCTAAAATTATGGATAGTCTTAAGGCACTAAAATTATGAACAGTCATGAGGCACCTAAAATTATGGATAGTCTTAAGGCACTTAAAATTATAAACAGTATTGAGACACCTAAAATTTGGATAGTCTTGAGGCACCTAAAATTATGGATAGTCTTGAGGCACCTAAAATTATGGATAGTCTTGAGGCACCTAAAATTATGGATAGTCTTGAGGCACCTAAAACTATGGACAGTCCCGAGGCACCCTTTAAAATTATGGACAGTCCCGAGGCACCCTTTAAAATTATGGACAGTCCCGAGGCACCCTTTAAAATTATGGACAGTCCCGAGGCACCCTTTAAAATTATGGACAGTCCGTGGCACCCTTTAAAATTATGAATAGTATTATGAGAGGCACCCTTTAAAATTATGGACAGTCCCGAGGCACCCTTTAAAATTATGGATAGTATTGAGGCACCTAAAATTATGGACAGTCCCGAGGCACCCTTTAAAATTATGGACAGTCCTGAGGCACCCTTTAAAATTATGGACAGTCCCGAGGCACCTAAAATTATGGACAGTCCTGAGGCACCCTTTAAAATTATAGACAGTCCTGAGGCACCCTTTAAAATTATGGACAGTCCCGAGGCACCCCATTGTAAAATGGGGTGCCTCAAGACTGTCCATCATTTTAAAAGGGCACCCCATTCTAAAATGTGAAAAACTATTCTAATAGTTTTATATACCGCAGCGACACCCACACATGTAGGACACCCAATATTAGAGGTGATTTATTCATTCAAAGCAAATACACTTTTGCACACTGGTACTGACTAGTATTCCAATGTTTTCTCTTCTCCCTCAGTTTTTCTCCATCAGTGAGCTAATGTGAACCCAGCACTGATGGAGAGGGGCAGGGGAGGGTCAAACTAGGATGCTGTGCAGGCAACTGACATCCTACTTATCAACTGATGATGTCATTGGTTGTCAGGATGCGGGCGGCTAGAAGGCCGTAATGGCGCACAATGAAGACCTGTGGCTTTGTGTAACTAAAAGGCAGGCTTCTTCCATCGCTGGCTTGTATACAAGTTTTGAGCAATTTTTAGACATTTTTCCAAGGCACCCCTGAAGAAACCTCAAGGCACCCCAGGGTGCCTGGGCACCCTGGTTGAGAAAGGCTGTCTTAACCCATGGGAGCCCCATGGTTCAGTTCCCGGCCTCTGATTGGCTAATCACTTTGATGGGAGTTTTGGTGGTTTACTTTGAATTGCAGCATTGGAACCTATCAGATCCTCCTATGTTTGTATGATACGTTCCCACTGCGCAGACCTGGAGCCATTAGAAGAGAAGTCTCCGGCTTTTTAATTAGACCCGCGTTCCCGCTCGATGCTCTTCATACGGAGGAAAGGACAATCGCTTTAAGTTTCGCTCGGTTAAGTGTTATAAAGAGATTTATTCTCCTTGTTCCAAATTGAGTGGAACAGATGGACGGAATTTACATTAAGCTGTTCATTAGCGGGAGGCAGACCCGAGTGCCAATCAAAAGAAGGGATTTCTGCAATAACATTTCAGTCGTACTAAAATCAAATTTAGCCGCCGACCGTGTCCTGCCTGAGCTGCTATTCTGCGCGTTATCCGACGGGAGACATTATTACTACACTGAAATCAATGTGGCCACGGGGAGAAAGCATAAAAACGGAAGGGTTAGAGCTTCTGTTGGGTTATATTGTTGCCTGTGTCCCCATTGCAGAGATTTCTCTTCACTCCCCGTATGGTCACTGGGGCAGGAAGTAACAAAATGCACAGACAGGAAGAACAGGAAGTGTCAGAACAGAAAGTAAGGGAAATGTCCCTACTTCCTGTCTATATGATAAATACCAGAACTTGAGGCAAGGGGAAATCTCCCCACACTGACAAACAGAAATGGGAAATCTCTCTACTTCCTGTCCCTTTGATAAGTAACAGGAAGTAAGGGAAAATATCTCCACTTCCCGTCTCTGTGTTGAGAGACAGAACAGGAAGTAAGGGAAAATTTTTCCACTTCCCATCTCATTGTTGAGTGACAGAACAGGAAGTAAGGGAAAAATCTCTCCATTTCCCATCTCTGTGTTGAGTGACAGAACAGGAAGTAAGGGAAAATCTCCTCACTTCCTGTCTTTTTGGTGAGTGACACAGAACAGGAAGTAAGAGGAAATCTCCTTACTTCCTGTCTCTTTGGTGAGTGACACAAAACAGAAAGTAAGTGTAAATCTCTCCACACTGACAAACAGAAATGGGAAATCTCTACACTTCCTGTCTCTTTGATAAGTAACAGACAAAACAGGAAGTAATGCAAAATCTCTCCACTTCCCGTTTCTGTGTTGAGTGACAGAAGAGGAAGTAATGGAAAATCTCTCAACTTTTCGTCTCTGTGTTAAGTGATAGAATAGGAAGTAAGGGAAAATATCTCCACTTCCTGTCTCTTTGGTGAGTAACACGGAACAGGAAGTAAGGGGAAATCTCGCCTTTTCCCCATCTGTTTGATAAATGACAAACAAATCATAAAGTAAAGGAAACATCACCTGTTTCTGTCACTGTGAATGACAGACAGAACAGGAAGTAAGGGAAAATCTCCCCACTTACTCTCTCTTTGAGTGACAGACAGAACAGGAAGTAAGGCAAAATCTCTCCACTTCCCGTCTCTTCCCTCTGTGTTAAGTGATAGAACAGGAAGTAAGGGAAAATCTCCACTTTTCCCCATCTGTTTGATAAGTGACAAACAAATCATAAAGTAAAGGAAACATCACCTGTTTCTGTCACTGTGAATAACAGACAGAACAGGAAGTAAGGAAAAATCTCCCCACTTCCTGTCTCTTTGAGTGACAGAACAGGAAGAAGAAAATCTCCCCATTTCTTGCCTCTTTGATAAGTGACAAACAAATCATAAAGTATTGAAAACATTCCCTTCTCCTGTCTCTTTGTTGAATGACAGACAAAACAGGAAGTAAGGGAACATTTTCCCATTTCCTGTCTCTCTGAGTGACAGCACAGGAGGTAAGGGGAAATCTCATCATTGCTTGTCTCTTTGATAAGTTACAAATAATTATAAAGTAAGGGAAACATCCCCTCTCCTGTATTTTAGTTGAATGACAGACAAACAGGAAGTAAGGGAAAACCTCCCTACTTCCTGTCTCTCTGAGTGATAAAACAGGAAATAAGAGAAAATCTCCCCATTACCTGTCTCTTTGATAAGTGACAAACAAATCATAAAGTAATGGAAACATCCCTTCTCCTGTCTCTTTGTTGAATGACAGACAAAACAGGAAGTAAGAGAAAATCTTCCCACTTCTGTCTCTCTGAGTTACAGAACAGGAAGTAAGGGAAAATCTCCTCATTTCCTGTCTCTTTGATAAGTTACAAGCAAACCGTAAAGTAAGGGAAATATCCACCTTTCCTGTCTCTTTGTTGATTGACAAAGAGAACAGGAAGTAAGGGAAAATCTCCCTTCTTCCTATGTCTCTGAGTGACACACAGAACAGGAAATAAGGGGAAATCACCCTATTTCCTATCCTTTTGTTGAGTGACAGACAGATCAGATTTTTGGGATAAAATTGGGAAGAGATAGCACAACAGCACATTATCTAGCAAAGTGGGGAACCTCTGTCATGTTTTTACAGCTATCTGGGTCCTCATTAGATTTTCCCTCACTTTCTTTGCAGCCACTGAAACAGGAAATTAGCAGTCTCTGTAACACAGGCATAAACAGGAAGAATAGGCAGTATGACAATATCCTTACTCCCCAGCTATATGATGTGTGTCAGAAGAGGAAGTAAAGGATATTTTTTTCCACTCCTAATCTATATGATGTGTGTCAGAACAGGAAGTAAGGACAAATCTCCCCACTTGCCTATATAATGTTTCTCAGAACAGAAAGTAAGCGAAAATCTCCCCACTTTCTATGTGTGTGAGAAAAAGAAGTATGGGAAAATCTCCCCGCTTCTTGTCTATATAATGTGCGTCAGAACAGGAGGTAAGGAAAAATCTCCCCACTTTTTGTCTATATAATGTGTGTCAGAACAGGGAGTAAGCGAAGATCTCCCCACTTCCCATCTATATGTGTGTCAGAACAGGGAGTAAGGGAAAATCTCCCCACACCCAATCTATATGTGTGTCAGAACAGGAAGTAAGAACAAATCTCCCCACTTCTTGTCTGTATGTGTGTCAGAACAGGAAGAAAGGAAAAATCTTCCCAATTTTTGTCTATATAATGTGTGTCAGAACAAGAAGTAAGAAAAAAATCTCCCCATTTCTTCTCTATATTATGGTGTGAGAACAGGAAGTAAGATAAAATCTTCCCATTTCTTGTCTATAAAATGTGTCAGAACAGGAAGGAAGCAAAAATCTCCCCACTTCTTATCTATATGTGTCAGAACAGGAAGTAGACAGAACTTTTGTTTTTTTAAATTCTTGGATGGTGAGAAAAATGTGGACACAGGCATAGAGGCAGCAATAAAAAGCAAAGTGGGGAAATGTTAGAACCTCTGTCAGATTTTGAATACTGTTTCCCCATTGGGGAGACTTCCCCTTACTTACTGTGTGGTCACCAAGACAGAAAATGAACAGAGTCTCCATAACAGAGACATCAACAATAAAAATCGTTTAAGAAAAGGGCGTGGGGTGACTCCAACCAAAATACTTCTTTAGGATTTTACTGCCATATCCCCATCCTATTAGTTTAACCTCAAATACACTATATTGCCAAAAGTATTGGTCGGCCGGCCTTTCCATGCACATGACCTTTACCGGCATCCCAGTCTTAGTCCGTAGGGTTCAATATTGAGTTGGCCCGCCCTTTGCAGCTATAACAGCTTCAACTCTTCTGGGAAGGCCGTCCACAAGGTTTAGGAGGGTGTCTATGGGAAGGTTGGACCATTCTTCCAGAAGCACATTTGTCAGGTCAGGCACTGATGTCGGGGGAGGAGGCCTGGCTCACAGTCTCCGCTCTAATTCATCCCAAAGGTGTTCTATGGGGTTGAGGTCAGGACTCTGTGCAGGCCAGTCAAGTTCCTCCACCCCAAACTGGCTCATCCATGTCTTTATGGACCTTGCTTTGTGCACTGGTGCGCAGTCATGTTGGAACAGGAAGGGGCCATCCCCAAACTGTTCCCACAAAGTTGGGAGCATGAAATTGTCCAAAATGTCTTGGTATGCTCACGCCTTAAGAGTTCCCTTCACTGAAACTAGGGGGCCAAGCCCAACCCCTGAAAACAACCCCCACACCATAATCCCCCCTCCACCAAACTTTACACTTGGCACAAAGCAGTCAGGCGAGTACCGTTCTACTGGTAACCACCAAACCCAGACACGTCCATCGAATTGCCAAACAGAGAAGTGTGTGATTGGTCACTCCAGAGAACACGTCTCCATTGCTCTAGAGTCCAGTGGCGGCATGCTTTACTCCACTGCATCCGACGTTTTGCATTGCACTTGGTGATGTAAGGCTTGGATGCAGCTGCTCGGCCATGGAAACCCATTCCATGAAACACTACACACTGCTGTTGTGCTAATCTGAAGGCCACATGAAGTGGCCTTCAGATTAGCAGTTGGTGACTTCTGCGCACTGTGCGCTTCAGCATGCACTGACCCGGCCCTGTCATGTGACGTGGCC